TATTATATGAAGAAACAAAAAATTCTAAGACTCAAAAACAATTTTTGACGTTTTTAATCAACATAATGCTTCGAGTGAAGTTTAAATTTAGTAGCCATAAATGAAAAAAGGTTCAATGAAACAAATAAATAGAGTTAGAAAAACACAAATCTAAGTAGTTTTCTCAAAAAGTCGCAACCTATGATATGTTGATAGCTATAAAACGTTTTTTTAGAGAGACACGATCTTTGGAAATACCCATAAAATAGATTTATCGAAAGAAGCAACTTTGAAAATAACCATAAAGCGGATTTATAAAAAAGACGCAACCTATAAAATGGTCCTAAAACATTTTTCTTAAAAAGACACAACCTATGATTTATTGATAACTACAAAGTGTTTTTTTCCGAAAAAAACATGACCGTTGGAAATAACCATGAAACGAGTTTATCGAAAAATACAACTCTTCAATATACTGATACCTATAAACCGGTCATAAAACGATTTTCTCGAGAAGATGCAACTTATGATATATTGATAACCATCAATCGGTTTTTTTGAAAAAAAAAGTGACCGTTGAAATAACCATAAAACGGTTTTATCGAATTGACACGATCTTTGGAAATAACCATGAACCGATTTTATCGAAAAAAACATGATTCTTGGAAATGACTATAAATCGGTTTATTGAAAAGACGCAACCCTATAATATAATGATAACAATAAAACGGTTATTTTCGAAAAGACACAACCCTATGATGCATTTTCTAGATTTTACTTAAATAAAGAAACAAAATTATGAAACTCAAACGCAATTTTGACGTCTTTTTGTCAACATCTTCTTTTGAGTGAAGTTTTAAATTAGTAGCCATATATAAAAAATGTTCAATGAAACATATATTTAGACTTAGAAAAACATAAATCTGTATAGCGGTTTTTTCTAAAAGACGCAACGTATGATATATTGATAGCTATAAAACGGTTTTTTCTATAAAAAAGAAAACACAACCTTTGGAAATAGGGGCAATTACAAAAATGCCACTTTTTGTGTGCACATTTGCAAAAATGCCACTTAAGGGTGTTTATTTACAAAAATGCCACTAATTATAGATTTA